TTCTCCACAGCAGGATTCTCTCTCATATTGAACCCTGCATTACTAACTGGTCACTGACAAGCATGACAACCTTAAAAAAAATAAAATCACTTTTTTTAAAAGCGTTAAAGATATTTGATAGGAAATCTTTATTGTTTCATCATTGTCTCATACTACAGAAGTATAATATCTTAAGTTTTGGAAATTTTCAAAAATTTAAACTGGCCTGCTCAGTCTACAAAGTCTTAAATGGAGTCGCTCCACCAGCTCTGGGTGAGTTCATTAAGCCCAAGTCCAGCTCTAGTGGTCGGGGAACAAGAGCCTCGACCAGAGGCGACTGTGCAAAACCCTGTAGACGCACAACTTTCAGTCAACAGGTGTTTTCAGTCAAGGAACAGAAATCTGGAACAACATCCAGCTGTTATAAGAGACTCCACCACATTCACTTCATTTAAAACTAATCTGAAACGACGGCTTAAAGGTTGTATGGAGGATTTTTTTTTTTGTTTCAAATTGTCAGTGAAAGTTTAAAATACCATTACAGAGATGCAGCAGTTTTGTAATTATGATGAGCAAAAAAAAAGAATGAAAATCTATCAACCGTGGACATAATGAGGCCAGATAAACATCAGCCAATACAAAACGAGGCTCCCTCATTTTCTATTGGCTGTTAGGTCGTCAATCAAACTCCCTACGTTTCTCGTGTAACTGACTCGCCGGCGCGCGGGGATTACGTGGTTTATGCGGCGGTTTTTCGAGGCTTTTTTAATCTGTAGCGTCCTCGCAGTTCGCACAAAGTTTGTTGCGACGGCGGACGAGAATCCACGACCCGTTCGCCGCAAAATAAAGTCGGTTTTTGAAGTCGTGAAGAGAAGGGAAAAAGGAGCAAAACAAAACTGAGGTGAGTCTTGGAGATTTCTTACAGCGACGGCGCGACTGAAGCGGGCGAAGGATTTTATTTCTAGACAGGTCACTTCAACGGGAATTGAACTGTGTAAATGTCAGTGTTGTGTGTCATGTTTGTGTGTTTGTCTTTTGTGACGCGTTTATGTTTTATGTTTTATGTTTTATGTCTGTATCTCTCCGACCTGCCAGGGACTACAGATGAAAAGTCGCCTTTGGGCTAATTCTGGCGTATTTACAAGTGTATGTTCATGAATATGCATTGTCCCTTTTAAATAAATAAAACTAAAAAAAAACTAAAACTAAAATAAGTTAAACATTTAAAATTCTTTATAAAATGGAAGAGAGCAGTGCACAGTTTTAGGTTTTCTGTACAGTTGTTCCAGAGCTTCCACCACTTTAACAGATTTACAAAATTTCATCATGTTTGTTCTGATTTTCTTTTTGATAAACCGTAACTCTGAGCAGTGTCGGGGAGTAACAGATTACATGTACCGGAGTTATGTAATCAGAGTACAAATGATGAGTAACTGTATTCAGTTACAGTTACTGTTTCAGTGAGTGGTAATTGGATTACAGTTACTTTGTTGAAATAAATGGATCACACGGCGGGATTTTCCTGATTTCACATTTTGGGCTAAACCAGGACTAAACCAGGTCTAAACCAGGACTAAACCAGGACTAAAACCAGGACTAAACTAGATCTAAACTAGATCTAAACCAGGACTAATCCAGGACTAAAACCAGGAATAAACCATAACTAAACTAGGATTAAAGCCAGAACTAATCAAGGACTAAAACCAGGACTAAACCAAAACTAAACTAGGACTAAACCGGATCTAAACCAGGACTAAGACCAGGACCAAATCCAGGACAAATCCAGAACTAATCCAGGACTAAAACCAGGACTAAAACCAGGAATAAACCATAACTAAACTAGGATTAAAGCCAGAACTAATCAAGGACTAAAACCAGGACTAAACCAGAACTAAACTAGGACTAAACTAGATCTAAACCAGGACTAAAACCAGGAATAAACCAGAACTAAACTAGGACTAAAGCCAGAACTAATCAAGGACTAAAACCAGGACTAAACCGGATCTAAACCAGGACTAAGACCAGGACCAAATCCAGGACAAATCCAGAACTAATCCAGGACTAAAACCAGGAATAAACCAGGACTAAACTAGAACTAAAACCAGGACAAAATCCAGGACTAAAACCAGGACTAAACTAGGACTAAAGCCAGGACTAAACCAGGACTAAACCAGGACTAAAACCAGGACTAAACTAGGACTAAAGCCAGGACTAAAACCAGGACTAAACCAGGACAAAAAGCAGGACTAAAACCAGGACTAAACTAGGACTAAACCAGGACTAAACTAGAACTAAACCAGGACTATAACCAGGACTAAAACCAGAATAAACCAGGTCTAAACTAGGACTAAATTAGAACTAAAACCAGGTCTAAATCAGGACTAAACTAAACTTTTCAAAGCGTAAAAGTCGACTAAACTGTAAAATTTCAGCGTTTGAAGGTTTATAAATGTCAGATCAGAAGATGACGTCCGAGTCCGGATCTTTGGACACTTTTCTTTGTGTCACTTTTACTTTTCCGGTCTGGATTTAGTTTTTTTTTACCCGTAAATGTACAAGTTGAGGCGACGTTTTCGGTCAGTTGCTTCATACGAGTTCTTTAACGCAATGGAAACAAACTCTGAAGATGCTGGAGATTATTACACGACACAGGCCAAGAGAAGACAGAAAACTTTACTCACGACTTTAAGAACACACGATGAAGAGATAAAAATACATCATTAAAACAGGAAACTCTCCTAATCTACCTCAGACCTGGTTTAGACCTGCCTCAGACCTGGTTTAGACCTGCTTCAGACCTGGTTTAGTCCTGCTTCAGTCCTGGTTCAGTCTGGTCCTGCTTCAGTCCTGGTTCGGTCCTGGTTCTGGTTCACCTGCTTCAGTCCTGGTTCAGGTTCGGTCCTGGTTACCTGGTTCAGTCCTGCTTCAGACCTGGTTTAGACCTGCCTCAGACCTGGTTTAGACCTGGTTTAGTCCTGGATTAGTCCTGCTTCAGTCCTGGTTTAGACCTGGTTTAGTCCTGGTTTAGTCCTAGTTTAGACCTGGTTTAGTCCTGGTTTAGTCCTGGTTTTAGACCTGGTTTTAGTTCTAATTTAGTCCTAGTTTAGACCTGGTTTATTCTGGTTTTAGTCCTGGTTCGGTCCTGGTTCGGTCCTGGTTCGGTCCTGGTTCGGTCCTGGTTTGGTCCTGGTTCGGTCCTGGTTCGGTCCTGGTTTAGTCCTGCTTCAGACCTGGTTTAGAC